GACTTGAAATTCGGTGACAAAGCCAAAAACACCAGCGATTCCAAATTCAGAATGTCTTCGTGGCGACCAAGGATTTACACTATGAACCTTGTTAGTTACCAGTCTAAAACCTACCCTGGACTAGGGGAAGCTGTCCACTTTGGGAACCTACGATGTGATCTAGAGTTGTGGTGTATAATTTCCTTAATAACTAACTAATAAAAAAAAATAAGAAAAAAGAAGGGGGCATATCCTTATCGTGCAACTGAAAGTTGCTGATGGTTTGCGCCATCTATCAGAATAAATATCAAATATTTGTTGATTTTTATTTATTCCAGAATTGGTCAAATACCCATTCTTGATTAATCAAGAAAAGCTAACCACGTAAGCGTTTCTGGATGTTGGCCCTCGTCAGCGTGGTACAAGCTGTACCTCAACGACCAAAGAAAACTGGTCATTCAGGCATCCTGAAAAATCATGAAACGGATAGTTAAGGTCAGAATTGCCTGAGAACGCGAAATAATGTGACAAAAGTAGTACAAATGTGATATTGTACTGGGGTAAAAAATTGTTTTTGAAAAGCAGCTGGGTCGTGGCAGTCAGAACTATAGGGATATATGCTATATCCCGCATTGGACACTTTTTTTTCTGTTAAAAAAAATGCTCCAATGGCCCCCGATTCTTGCAAAAGTCCAACCCCACCAGCGAGTGCAAGTAACCAAACGGGGCTCTGGCACATTTGTAAGTGCAAAGTCGAACTGCTTTTCACATGTGTAGACATGTGGTGAACTTACAGTAAAAGCAGTCGCTAACTACCCACCATGATTATCATGGCCTGTACCACGTGTACTATGGATAAGCAAAAAGAAAAAAAGAGCTATAGGGTCTATACCACTGCCCCACCGACCCCGTTGTTGTTATTGAACTAGGAAGGATATGAAGAGGAATCTTCACACTGAGAGGAGAGGTGGAGTGGATGGAAGGCAGGTTATCGGTGATAGACGGAACTTCAATCCTTTTATCTCTCGACAGCTCTGATACGTCGCGACCTCACACCTCGTTCTGCTGTGGGCGACAAAATCTCCAGAACTGTCCTCAAGACATGGATCCTTTCTTTGTCAATGTACCTTTATAACCAGTTTTTTTTGTCGTTGAAACTACCTACACCACTCTAACGAGGGCTAACAGCCTTAAAAACGTACATGGTTGACTTTTTATATATTTTTTCAAGATAGAGTATTTGGCTAATTTTCTGGATATAATAATAATAATAATAAAATCGACGATTAGTTGATATTTATTCCGATAGATGGCACAAGCTATCAGCAACATTCAATTGAAAGATCAGAAGATGCCCTTTCTCTCTCTCTTTAAATGTAATCATCTGGTCTTGTACACTTTTACTTTTATAGGGTATGAAATTCATGGTAAACGGTTTGCGGATTTCGAACAAATTAGAAAGAAGGAATCATATATCGCCGCAACTCTTTTTTATTAACGCGATAAAAGAAGCTTTCGGGCAAGCCCTTCCATGGCCTCGATTCTAAGAAACCCAATCACCAAAAGCACCGACCAGAAACAGAAAAAAGATTTAGTTTACCAAATTCCCTGCCTCAACTGCAATAGTATCTACATCGGCGAGACATCAAGAGACCTTTCAATCAGAATCAAAGAACACCAAAGAAACATCTCTAAACTAAACCCAAACTCCTTAATAGTTGACCACGTCAGGGAAACCGGACACACTCCAGACTTCAATAATACCAGAATCCTCCATACAAATGCCAAAACTAAAACCCAAAGACTCATTCTTGAAGCAATAGAAACCATGAAGCACCCTAAACCATTAAACAAAAGTATACAGTTGCCATCACAGTACGTTCCCCATCTATCCTAAAAATCTTCAAAAGTCTCCACTAAATCCTTTGAACTGTATATAGTTGATTCTTTATATTTATTCAATTACGTAAATTTCTTTTAAGATATTTTTGTACTATATTATATTTGAAGTTAGGATCAGACATGACGTGGCCACGCGGTGCTATTGAAACGAGGGCGATAGGGGCGTGGTAATTTTCTTTTCTTTTATTTTGTTTATATTAAAAACGATATATAATCTCTCCTTGTTTGTACACTATAATTAGCTGAAGAAGGGCTTGCCCGAAAGCTTCTTTTATCGCGTTAATAAAAAGAGTTGCGGCGATATATGATTCCTTCTTTCTAATAAGGGTATGAAATCCTTATAGCACGGATGTTTCTTCTATACATAAAACTAACTTCTATTATCCTTACTGCAATGAAAAAATATTGGGAGGGCTTGCTTCATCAGTGGTGCACCTTCTCAGGGAAATTTGGTTTCGCCAATTTAATCTACCAGATCACTTCTTAGAGCTCTAATACTGTATTGAACGATTCTGCTTTTATATGCTACAATGAAGGGTGGAATCTTAGAAATGGTATTTAGGCAAACTATGGACATAATCTTTTAGGACAGTAGAATTGTTATGCAATTAAAGTAAGTAAGAAGGATGAATCCGTAACCAATTTAACTTTGCATATTATTTATTATTAGTAGTAATTATACAAAACAAATCTTGGTATATGTTTTACGTGAAAACAACAGCAAAAAATTAATATATTACAAGTTCCTTTTCAAACACGAGCTCATCTATAGCCATTGTTACTCTGTGTAATATTCCAACAGGTAAAGCTGCTATGTAAAAATCAAATATCTTAACACACACACAAAGGTTTTGTGTTTATTACCTCTTCTAAATCTGGCATTTTGGTTGAAGTAACGTTTCGGAAGAAGAGCTATCTACAGAATCTTGTAGATGGTCAACAGGCTTCCAACTTGATATGGTCTTCGAACATTCAATCACACACGCTCTACGGCATCTGATAGTATCTACAAATATTGACTATCTTGGGTCTTACGGCTGTATCCTGGTAGATCTTGCTCTCTGGCACGTTGGCCGATTTGTCCTCACTGTTTGGAAGCATTAAAGACGGTGGGTTACTACATATTCAACTGATAAGCTTTCCTGAGGTACTGGATACTGATAGTCTTATTATAAGGTTGTCCTAAAAGTTCGTTAACATATTGCCACGCGGAAAATTGGGGAAGACCAACTTCGGAAATATCTTTATTTACGGGGCTGTTAACCAGAATGAATGATTTTTGAGCCCCAAAAGACCAACTTCGGGATGAGACAAGAACAAACTATGAGTGATAAACAAAAGATAAGCAAAAGAGGGAAGTGTACAGAGTAACAAAATATAAACATAAAAAATAATATTCTGCTAAAATAATAAATATTTTGTTACAATATTATGATTTATATTTTGCAAGTGTTTACGAACTTTTGTGACAACCTTGTAATATTGGTAACCTTGGTAAAATTATAACAGAATTCTTATAGAAGAATGATTTAATCTCTGATGTTCTATATCAAGGGTGGCCAATCAGTGGCCAAGTTTCAGAATTACAAGGTTGTCCTAAAAGGTCGTAAACACTTGCAAAATATAAATCATAATATGTTTACGAACTTTTGAGACAATCTTGTATTTGGACTGGTTTAGTTTGATCCTGCATCGTTGGCCTGTCTTCCAAACTGACTGATAGCATTCCTGGTCAACTGGTTCAGATCTACAACCCGCCGTGACTTGAACTTTACATTAGACTGTTGGACAGCCCGGGTATTTGGCATTCGACCTTCAAAGAACCCGGGTTATGTCTAATTCATCTTGATTATCTTGTGAGTCATATTGACAAAAATTACTATTACGGGTGCCCGGATGAAAAAGGAGGAGGGGGAGCAGTAACAAGCTCACTAAAAAACCTGGGCTCAGCTGGCCCGGCTGATAGTACCCTGTTAGGGCTCCTAATCCAGGGATACAGGATGAGCAGCGTTTGTACTCCATGTTAGGAGCGGCTGCACATGGCGTCTGTTCCTCATGTCAGAGGCGGCCATTTCTTTTGGAGCTAAGTCAGTAGCCTGCCACTGAGTAGTGCTCCCAGTCTTAATGACAAAGACAGAGGCATTCTACTTCACCCAGTGTGGAGATAAGAAAGAAGAAGACTATTACGGGTTACTACACAAAAATGCAATATACTAGGGTCTAAAGTAAGAGTAACTTAAATACACAGAAAAGCGTACACTCATGAGTACAACACTAACAACAAAAATAAACTAAATTAAAACAAACGATTTGTAAAATAAAAACAAAACCAATACTTATCTTTATTGTAGTGTTGGTAGGGATCGGACCGGGGTTACACAGGGATGCGAAGAGATCACCAGACACCATTTCTCCACGCTGGACCCCACACATTCCTTTAGTCCCCTCTTATATACAGACATGGCCACATTCGTCCAATGAGAAGACGTGAGAGATTGGTTCACTCAAACCAAAACAACATTCTTCCCCCTAAAAAACTGATCAGAAAAAACTGAAAATGTTTGTCGATATAATTTGACAATATAAATGTACAGTTCTTTGCCTTAAATAGTTTTGTATCTGTAAACAGATTCTGAAAGCCTGTTATCATCATTGTTTGAATTTTATATGTTAAGTTTGTAATTATTCTTATTTTTTAATTCATAGAAGCATTTTTCTGGCAGGCATATTCAATTTTTTATCATCATCATTTTGGATTTTTTTTTTCTTACTTAGCTATCAAATCATTTTTTTCATAGTTTTTTATTTGTTTTGTTGTGCTCCTTTTTAAGCAATAAAATTTATATAACTAAGGTGTAATATTCAATTCAAGCATATGGAACCAACATCAATTCATTTTTAAAACAAAGCAAAATCATAAGCTTATACAACTTTCACACTTTTTCATACAGCATCATTATCACAGGATTGAGGATTTCAACAAATTACAAAAATAAATCATAAGATTTCGCTACTCTTTTCATTTACTTGATGAAAGGAAGCTTTCGAGAAATCCCTTTCATATTTTCAGATTAAATGTATAAGATGATTATATAATTGTAGAACGACATTTGGCGCCTACGGCCATACCACGTTGAAAACACCGGTTTTCGTCCGATCATCGAAGTTAAGCAACGTCGGGCCCGGTCAGTACTTGGGAGGGTGACAACGACATTTGACAATTATCCCGCAAATGTTTCTTTTGAACGAAAAATCGAAATTTATTTTAAGGAGAAATAACGACTATTTCCAACCTTAGGAATGAAGTATGAAAGGAAGAATTGTGAAGAGTAATGATAAACGGAAAAATAAAAGTGTCCAGGGATGGGAATCGAACCCACAATGTTCCGCTTACCGGGCAGATACCATGTCCACTAGGCTACCCTGGACATATTTTTCCGTTCGTAAATATTATATAAAGTAATTTATAATACAATATAATGCGGCTTACATTACAAACTGTAATGCATTTATACTTTATTAGGATCATCAGACAAAATAATAAAACTATATCAAATATTCTACTGTCCTCAAAGCTTATGTCCATAGTTCTTCTAAAATACCCATTCAAAGAGTCTATCAACAGTATCACTATAAAAGGAAGTTCCAAAAATGCAATATAACAGCGGTATGGTAGATTAAACTGGCGAAACCGCTGAGAGGGTTCACCACTGATGAGCCAGGCCCTCTCATTAATTTTTCCGTTGCAGTAAGGGTAGTAGAAATTGTTTAATATCAAAAAGAATCTTACGCCTTTAAAATAGTTTTGAATTTTGATAACAGATGGCGCGCTAGTGCATCATATATCAAATATAGAATAACTAAATCAATAAGTAATCAAAGGTTTGGTTTCTTTTCGTAATTCTTTTATTTCTCGAACTTTTGGGGGTAACATGTTCTTCAGCACGGAGACACCAGAAATACCACTTCTCTCAAAGAAGTAATACTTCTGATGTCTCTGTGTTGAAGGACATGTTATCCTGAAAGCTCGAGAAATTAAAGAAACGAGAAAAGAAACCTAGCCCTATATTCCTTATTGATTTAGTTAAAATTTAAAAGCAGGGAAGAATATTTTATTATAAAGGGATATGTTTTGAAAATAGAGCAATCCATAAATAAATCTTTAATTAAAAAGGCATATATTGGATCAAAATATCATTTATTTTACCAATATTTCAGTTGGCTGAACGCCAACCTTTATCAAGGTATTATAACATTTCAATGTGTGTCAACAACAAACTCAGCGCCACATAACGTCAATAGAATATATTATGTAGCGTTGAGTTTGTTGTTGACACACTTTAAAATGCTATAATACCTTGATAAATGTTGGCGTTCAGCCAACTGAAATATTGGTAAAATAAATTATTTTTTGATCCAATATATGCCTTTTTAATTAAATATAGGGATGTGTAAAAAAATCAATATATACAACATTTTTCTCTTGAATATAAAAGCAAACAGGGAAAGGTACAAAACGACCATTAGACATAAGAAAGTAGGATTTATTGCACTCACGTGCCAAGGACAAAAAGCATGTTGAATAGTGATATCCTTTCCTTGAAATAAAACGGTGACTTTCTCTTTACACAGTTTCCTTTTGATTTGATTGGATATTTGTTTCGTCGGTCTTGTTTTTAGTTACTTTATGTAGTATTTACGAACGGAAAAATATGTCCAGGGTAACCTAGTGGACATAGCATCTGCCTGGTAAGCGGAACACTGTTGGGTTCGATTCCCATCCCTGGACATTTTTATTTTATTTTTCCGTTTCATCATTACTCCTCACAATTCATCTTTTCATAGTTCATCCCCAAGGTTAGAAATGATCGTTATTTATCCTTAAAATAAGTTTTGATTTTTCGTTCAAAAGAAACACATGCGGGATAATTTTCAAATGTCGTTTTACAGTCTTGTAGAGTCTTGAGACTAAGTTTACAGATCCCATGTTCAGAACATGAATAACCCGACCTATAGAGCTACTGGGGCTACTGGACAAGGGATGTATAATGGCGTCAACTTCCTTCTTGCGTCAACCAAGACATCCATCTACCAGTTCTTCTTGATCCTTCATATTGTCGCGTATAAGGCCTCAAAACACCTACCATCTCCGCCAATAGATGGCACTTTCGCCTATTTCCGTATGGAACTGGTGTGGATATCGCCGACTGCTGTGTTCCTGTTTCCTGGAGCAATATAGTTGTAAATATGTGTTTATATTGGCTCTGGTATGTGAATAAATGTAAATACCCATTGTGTGTGTGAATGTTACTCTAGTTTTAGGTAATGTGTAGTAGAAATGACAATAAAGAAGGAGTGTTTGAAGTCTTAGTGCCGCCTGCTGTTGTTCCTATCGCCACATCGCTGCTGCTACTCTTCTGGTAAGTCTCTCGTGTCCCCCCACCAGTGATAAGGCCGAGAGATACTGCCAGAGGAAAGGAGTTCCACTTTAGTGGTGGTTCTTGGGTGCTCTGAAGGGTACAGCTGCAGAGGGAGAGCAACGGGAGCCCGGGTAGGTGATCCACGAAGGAGGAAGCGGCGTCGTCGCAAAGAAGCAGTGGGGTCAAGCGCAACAATATGAAGGGAGACCCTAAGATTATCAGGAGAATGATTCTTCATAGCCTCCTGAACTATACATATTTGCATATTAAAAACAAATTAGGCATATCATGACCGCACTCACATGAGCTTTTTAAGATGACAGAGCGCCATCTAGTGAAACAGAAATAAACTAAACGTTGACGCTCCCTGATATTTGACCAACCCATTTTCTTGACAAATCAAGAAAAGTCAACCACGAACGCGTTTCGGGCAAAAATATTTTTATCCCAGAGATTTCTTGAGAAATCAAGAAATAGGTATTTTAAGGACTAATTTGTGTAACCTTTATTTTATTTGTTGGGAAAAAAAAAATATTTTTTTCATATTTGCATATAATCTTGTGTTTATAGTGTTTCCCTCTTACTATATATTCTCTTTCAACATTAGGTGTAAGATTAATTAATGACGGATGTTAAAAAATTAAGCAAAAAGGCATTTCCTGATCGTGCAACTGAAATTTGCTGATGGCTTGCACCATCTATAGGAATAAATATAAACTAATCGTTGATTTTTAATTATTCCAGAATTGGCCAAATACCCATTCTTGATTAATCAAGAAAAGCTAAACACGGACGCGTTTCGGGCTGTTGGCCCTCATCAGCGTGGTGCAAGCTGTACCTCAACAACCAAAAAACTGGTCTTTTAGGCATCCTGAAAAATCATGAAACGGGTAGTTATGTCCAGAATTGTGTGAGACCGCGACACAATGTGAAAAAAATAGTACATTTGTGATATTGTACTGGGATAAGGTGTATACTTTCAACTTTCAGTTGCACGATTAGGAAATGCCTTTTTTCTTAATTTATAATACCTGATCCAAGTACAAATTCACTTTTGTAATGTTTTTCACGGATGTTAATAAAATTGTTATAAAATCTGGAGTACGTGCGGTGTGTACTTGTAGGAGCCTGGTGGCCGCCCGCGTTAAGCGACCCGCCGATAAGATAGCACAGCTGGTATCGCCGTCAAGGTCAAGGGGCCTATAACTGACAGCTCACGCCGCTAGAGCTCCCAGTCGCCATGCAGTCACGTAAGGAGACGCTGCTCAACTATCAGGGGTTGCTTGCCGCCCCCTTCACCATCTACGCCTCCCCTGGCTACTCTACGGTAGATATCAGCTCCATCGACCGCTATGCTGCCTACTTGAAGAACGCTGGGGTGAACGGCGTGTTCGTCAATGGAACGACTGGCGAAAGCGTGTCGCTGAGTGTCGCAGAACGTAAGACCACTGCAGCAGCTTGGGTGGAGTCTGCACGTCGTGTTGGACTGGAACTGGTGATCATTCAGGTTGGTGCGAGCGCTTTAGCTGATGTCCGGGAGCTTGCTCATCACGCCGAGCAGATTGGTGCTCATGCTGTAGCATCCCTACCTCCGCTCTACTACAAGACTCCTGAGGTGGAATCCATGGTGGATTACTTCGCTGAGATAGGAAAGGCTTGTCCATCGCTGCCTCTACTCCTCTACCATTTCCCTGAACAAACTGGAGGCAACTTGCCACCACCTAGCGCCTTCCTTACACGATGCTCTGAGCGTCTACCTCAAGTGTGTGGTGCGAAGTTCACTTCTGCGGATGTCAGGGAACTGGCGAAATGTCTTCGTGTACCTGGAATGAAGATAATGACAGGTCATGATGAGACGCTTCTACCTGCCATGTCTCTGGGTGTAACGGCAGCTGTGGGGGCATCCTACAACTTCATCCCTCATCTCAGCGTGAGGCTGATGGAACAGGTGCGCCGTGGACAGACCGAGGAGGCTCGCAACACCCAGCAACAGATCGCTGATGTCGTCCATATCGCCGTGGCTGCAGGACACCAGCCAATCTCAGGCCTCAAGGCTCTGATGAACCACGTTGGTCCCTTCAACGTAGGGGACCCTCGCCCTCCCTTGTACCCCCTGAATCCAGATCAGCATCTGTGGATCGATGAGGCCCTGAGACGCAACCCTGTCCCCAAGTGAGATCTCCACTCAATAAATATCTGTCTATCTTCGAAATCTGTCTTTCTTTCTTCCAAATAGACATTTGGTGAGTTACTTATATGTGTCTTGTCTGAATGTTAACTAAGAACCAGTAACTAAGGAACAAGATAAAATGTAAAACTCAGATTTCGCCCCTGCCACCTCTAATTAATAATTATGATGTACCAGCTCTGTTATGAAAATTAGCGTCTAAAATAGTTTCGAATTTTTAATATTAATTAAATTATCTCAAACTACAAATGCTAATATAGGAAACAAAAGAATTAAAACATGAATGCGTCTCTTTTATCCCCTAAAACAAACTTCCACTCTCCTTACTGCGATGAAAAATATCGGAAGAACTTGGCTCATCAGTGATAAACCCTACTAGCAGTTTCACCAAATTAATCTTCCTGAGCGCTTTTTAAGAGTTCTAATACTTTAAATAAAAAGGCATATATTAGATCAAAGAATAATTTATTTTACCAATATTTCTGTTGGATAAACGCCAACCTTTATCAAGGTATTATAACATTTAAAAGTGTGTCAACAACAAACTCAGCGCCACATAACGTCAATAGAATTAAGTATACTGTATTATATATAATACTGTATTGGATCATTCTGCTT